CCGCACCCATTGGAAAGGCGGGGGGAACGTCACCCCTAACCACGAGCAGTTGCGTGGACATCCCCATTTGGCCTAATCATCCGAAAAACTACAAATCACACGCAGTCGAACGAAGGAGGGAGGGGGAGGGGCAGAAGGAAAAGGAGAAGAGAGGACGAGGAGGGAAGGATAACAAAATGCACGGGCGAAGTTTAAAGCCCGTATTGCGACAAGACAAGGGCATCAGCGTACGCACAAGTCCTGCAGGACCGAACGATTAGGAGCGTATGTTTGTTCTGTGAGGAGGGCCAAGCCAAAAAGAGCAGGGCCTACGGCAGTGACAGCGCGAGACTGGAGCGGCCCCCGATGTTGAGAGCGGCCCGCAGGTACGGACAATCAACTGCACGCGTGCTGCCCCGCTCCAGCCATTGGCATGAAGCATGCGAATTAACGGACTGGTTAAAAGCCACACGGCTACACGCACGGCCTCGACCCCAAAAATTGAACGCCCCCAAAGCCCAGGAAGCTGCCCAACTGGTCGAAAAACCAACCGCTACCCGTCACAGATATTGCCCCGGGAGAGGCGTCCCCACAAACGCTGGTGGACTCGAACCCTATACAAGACTACAAATTTGACGAATTCGTAACCGCGCGCACACAAGCCGGGCCTCGGAGCAAGGCGGGGTTGCGTTGTCCAGCCGGCCTGGACTCATAAAGCGGCACCGCCATTCGGAGGAGGGAGGGCGGAGGGATGAGGAAACGGAGGACGGAGGAGGGCAAGGGAGGAGGGCAACTGCACGCACCGGCCGCGGACGCGGTGTCCAGCTGGCTTGGACCCGCAAATCGGCACCGCCATTCGGAGGAGAGAGGGCGGAGGGAGGAGGAAAGGAACAAGCTGGAGAAACAAGGATGCCGCCACACAGTGGGAACACAAGTGCCTCCTCTCTATGGGACGCGCGTGCGATTAATGAATCCTCTGGTGTGCTGCTCAAGCTGGATCTCGTCGGGGTCGCTTGAAAGCGGACGACAACAGGGACATCGCTTTTGCGTATCCCTGGGCTCCCTCGCGAATGAAACCGCGGAAAAGGCCAGTCAGATCTGAAGTGCCCCTCTGGTGCCGGAAGCTGTTGTGGATCCGGTACATGGCGTAGACCGCGATAGCTCGAAGGGCGGCTGCCTGAGCCGCGTCCCAGTCGCGCCCGCCAGACACTGAAGCCGGCGACGGCGCGACGCCGAGAAAGTCCGCGAGGCAGCTGTCGATGGGAGGCTTGCCGAGCCCCAGCCAGCGTTGGCAAAGAGCGTGGTAGCAAGTGCTGACAGCATAATGCTCCAGGGTGTCGGGGCAGCCAGGGCAGCCCAGGACGCAGCCTTGCGACCTCCGGCTGGCAGCCCACCCATTGAAGGCCGTACGAAACTGGCATGCCTTGACACGTAGTGGTAGGTATGTGGAAGTGCCCCTCGTGTTCCTGAGCCAGCGTTCAAGTCGGTGCCCCGGCAGAATTGTGATGTGCCATTGGTCCATGTGGTGGCGAACGTGCCGTTGGACCTCGAGGTCTTTGCGGCCACTCAAAGGTTTGCTGGCCCGGGCCTGCCATCCGATCCGTCTGTTTTCCTCGTGTCCTGCTGCAGCATGAGCCTGCCGACTGGCCAAGCCTCCCCCAGCTTCGCCGAAGCCGTGTCCAACGAGAGGACGAAGCACCCGCTGAACCAATCCGCGCAGTAGGCAGGGCAACAATGGCCGCCCGCGCTCGCGATCGCAAGCCTCAAAGAGCGGGCCCGCCGAGCGATCTGCAATCCTCCGTGGCCAGCGTTTTAGCGGGCGGCCACGTGGGCGCGGGCAGCCAGTGAGGAGACTCGGATGTCTGGGAGCTCGATTGGAAACGCCGCGAACTTCATGCCCTTGAGAAACCCAGCTGTCATCTAACCATGAGGCCCAGGGAAGAGTGACCGGCAGGCGCGGGCCTCGAAATCGTCGAACTCTGGAGGCAACGGGTCAAGTTGTGCAGCGAACATGAGGACGGAGGAGACGAACACCCTGTAGGCGTCCACCGTGTGGGTCAAGCCTAAGCCCAACGTGCCCCAGAGCCGCGCCCTCTCCGTGAACTTTTTGAAAGCAATCTCCCACGATCGCATGCCTCGTCCCGGGCCGACGTAGAATCCGAGGTATTTCGCTTTTAAGTCCACCAGCTAAGCCCCCCACAGGGGAGCGTGCACCGCTAGGCGCGCGCGAACATCGTCAGGAGCAAATGGGCTCAGCGGGACCAGGACCGTCTTCGAAACGCTGAGCGCCAAGCCGGAGATGCGCTCATATTCTTGGAAAAGCGCCTCGAGGCGGCCAATGACCTTCCAGATGCAGGGGTGCACGCACGCCGTGTCATCCGCGTACGCCCGGAGGGTGCCATCAGGGACCTGGCGAAGGAGCCTCCTCTGCAGCACGTCCTCAGCGACGGCAAAGAGGAGCGGCGACAGAGGGCAAGCTTGCCGGATGCCCCTGCGGATGGCGAAGCCGCAGTGTCGGGACCCCCCCAGGACCATCTGGCAGCGGTTGTTGGCAGACAACACGGAAGCGAAATTGAGCAACCAGACCGGCCAGCCCAGTGCCCGGAAGACCTCCCGCGTAAATTCGTGCTCCACGGAGGGGAACGCGGCGGCGAAGTCGTAGAACATGGCGCACCCCTCCTCCGACGAGCACGCGGTGAGTGCCATGGCTTCGTCGATGTCCACGAGGTTGGCAAGCATCGACCACCCCCTGATGAACCCCCGCTGGGCCGGAGAGACCCGGTAGCCCACCAGAGGCTCAATGGCCAAGCGCACCGCGTTGGCGAGGAGCCTGTTGTCGGTGTTCATGACATTGAGCGGGCGGACGTTCCTGGCCTCATAGAACCCCTCCCCCGCGGCAGTGTTGCCCGAAGGATTTTTGGCAAGAAGAAGAGCAAGCTGCTGTTGAACGCGTCGTACGCCGCAGCTGTGAGCTCCGGGCCTCCCTCCCCACACATCTCTGGATGGCGTCGAAGAGGACTGGGACAGCGAGATCCACTGACCGGCGCCAGGCGAGAAAAGGGATGCCGTCTGGGCCCGGCGCGGAGTTGTTGGAGTTTAACACCGCCTGCCGTACGTGTTGCTGTTCCACAGTGAGGTTGCCCAGGGGCGAGTCGGACGGGTTCTGCCGCCGTCTGTCGTGCAGGTCCGCGCTATATGTGTAAAATGCACAACATGGGTTGAAACGCGTCAGTTCTTCTTTCGTACAAAATATATTGAGAAATCCTCTCCCCCCTCGTTCTGCCCCATCGTTCATCCTACATGTGAACCCATACCATCGCAGCCAGGCCAGAAGTCGGTCCCTCCTCGTCATCCTCGGCAACAAATTGTATGCGCGCGCTCGTGTATCACAAATCAATTATTTTCAAAAGCCCCCAAAAAACAAACGGGACGAAGTTCACGCGGGCGCGTCGTCGCGCGCGCACAGCGGCCTCGTGTCTGCACAGCGGCCTCGTGTCCGCCCGACTAGTCTCCGCGCGAGCGCCAGGTTCGCGACACAAAAGGATCTGCCTCTCCGAGCATGGGGGGGGGGGGGGGCAGGTGCACCGCGGAGGCAGAAGGCATCGAGCGGGGACCGACCGCCCCAGCGCTTCTCGAGGCCTACCACGACATCCTCTGAGCAGAAAGGAGTGCTCTCATACACACAAACAGGCGATGTCCTTGAAACGCAACGCCGATGTGTCAAACAGTTCCTGCCTCAGCCAGAAATGCTCTGAACACGTTCTCGTGCAGACTGCGACAGATTCTTATAGCATTCTTTGGCAGGCCTATAGGCATATCGGGACGCTTGGCCACTCTTTGAGAGCAACGCCACCTGGGAAGGTCCGGGCTCCCGCTGCCAGGGTGGCCCGCGGGCACGCGCGCGGCCTTGTCCTTCTTCGCCGCGAACTGCTCCCGCGTCCCTTCGGGGACCAGCGACCGGAGCTTGTCGACGTTGATCGAGGGGCAGACCTGCCCACCCCTGGCCCTGCCGTCATCCTCCCTCCCTCCTCTTGCTCCTCTTCCTACTCTTCCTGATCCCCCTCGCCCTCCCACCCCCCTCCCCCTCCCCCTTCCTCCCCCCTCCCCCCCCCCCCTTCTCCTCTTCCTCCTCCCCCCTTCCCTTAGCGCCAACCTCGGAAACAAACTCTAGAGCCGGAGCCAATTCACTGCAGAACCGCTGTAAGAATCAGAGGGTCGACGAGGTCCCTGATCCGAAACGCTCAGCGTCGCAGGCACGACGACCCGCAGTCACGGGAAAGGAAATCCGATCTCCGAAAACGGCACACGGCAGCAGGAACCCGATCCCTTTCTTCTCCCTCCTCATGATCATTATCGGTTGCGATCACGAAGGATTAGGTTCTCCGATTGCCATCCTCATGACTGTTCCTCTGTTCCCCCTGCTCCTCTTGGTCATATTCCTGCATCTTCTTGGCGGCGCAAACGCGGGCAATCGAGCCACCGCGTCTGCCACACATGGATAAAGACGAAGGGCCTGGCTTTGGCGATGTGGCCTACGAGACAAGCGTAAGAAGTGCAACAGCAGGCAGAGTATGGGGATAATCGGAGGCGAGCGAGGGGGGAAGTGAGAAGGAGAAGGCCTTCCCAGAAAGTGGCGGTGCTTCCCAGATGCCCTCGGGCCTTCTGAGAAGTGTTCTGCGTCTTCGGGGAAGGCTCAGTCAACTGATCAGAAGGCTGGGGAACTTCCGAGCCTTCTGAGAAGGCCCGCCCCTTCTCGCCTACCCCCTGGGCTCGCCGCCGACACGAAACGTGTGTGATGGGGGCGGCGAAGTGGAGGTGCGGAGGGCAGAGGCAGTGATTGGAGGGAGGAGAACCGCCATAAACATACACTTTTGGCGCTCCGCGCGAATTTCTTGGATCCGCGCTGGGCACCCCGGCGCGCGGAGCGCGCCAGGGGCGGCGCCGCCGCGGGGGCCCAGCGCGGATCCAAGAAATCTGCGCGGAGCGCCACAAGTATATGTTTATGCAGTTTTCTCCCGAGGAGGGAGGAAGGGGAGGAGGAGAGGAAGGAGGCGCGGGGCGCCGTCTCTTCAAGGCGAGGGCCCACCACCACGGATGGCCGGGAGACGCCGCGGCGCGCTCAAGAGAGGGCCTCGCCGCATCGGCGCGCCGCGCCCCTCGGCGGGGCGGCGGAGAAGGGCGCCGGATGCGGAACGGCGGCGGCGCTCCTCTGGCGGAAGTGCAATCGAAATCTACGGTCAGGGCGGGCGGTAAGGACGCAAGGGTTAGGTCGGGCATGTCCCCGTACAGGCGGACTTTGGACGACAAATTAGAACTCAGCCGACCCCGTCGGCGTGTGTGAGACGCTTTCGTCCCCGTCGTCGCCACCATCCTCCTCCAGCCATCCAACCCAGCCAATGCGCAACCGAACCACGTCGTCATAGAGGAGAAGGCGAAGCCCTTCCCTGTGCCCTTCCCTGTGATCCCTTCCTGGAGGGGGGGTCCGGGGGGGTGGTCCCAGTCCCAGAGGTGGTCCCGGGGGGTGGTCAGGGGTGGTCCGGGTGGTGGTCCCGGGGGGTAGACTCGGGGGGGGGTCCCGGGGTAATGTGATTGTTTCCTCACTAGGGCTCCAACTCCACCACCTCCCCTCCCCCTCCTCCCCTCCTCTCCTCCACCCTCCTCCTCTCCTCCTCCTCCTCCTCCTCCTCCTCCTCCGCCTCCTCCTCCTCCCCTGCTCCCCCCCGCCCCCTCCTCTCCCCCCCACCCCCCCCTCCCCCTCCCCTACCCTCCTCCTCCTCCTCCTCCTCTTCTCCTCCTCCTCCTCCTCGTCCTGCTCCTCCTCCTCGTCGTCCTCCTCCTCCTCCTCCTCCCTCCTCTTCCTCCCCTCCACCCCCGCCCCCCCTCCTCCCCCCTCCTCCACGCCTCGTCTTCCTCCTGCTTCGTTCCTCCTCCTCCTCCTCCTCCTCCTCCTCCTCGTCCTCCTCCGCCACGTCGTCCTGTACCTCCGACCTCTTATCACGCATCCCGTCACCCTCGAGGGCCGAGGCATCCAGGGTCGGCGGCACCTGCCGTAAGGCCTTAGCAATACCCCCCAAATATTCCCAACAAGTCAACTAATCATAAAACATTGCCCCCATATGTTTTTGTATAACTATTTTTGAACATTCCCCCTGTTGAGGGAAGTGCCCGACTTAGCGCAAGGGCCTCGGACGCCGAAGTGGGCACAATTTGGGCGGCGAACTGCCAGCGCCCGGAAGGGCTGAGACAGGCGCAAAAGTACCCTCCCTACATCCGTGCGACCTTGCTCTCTATTTTGGCTGTAGGGGCGGCAACAGTTTGGGATCCGGGGCGTCCGGAAGCACTCGGTCAGTCCTGCGCCTCCTCTCGGGCGGTTGGCACTGGGGGGTGACGCACGTGGAGGGTGAAGATAAGGGCCCCTCAATGGCCCTTGGCTTCACCCCCAATTTGCGTCACCCCCCCATTGCCACTCGCCCGATCCTCCTCCTTCTCCTCCTCCTCCTCCTCCTCCTCCTCCTCCTCCTCATCTCATCATCATCATCATCATCATCATCATCATCATCATCATCATCATCATCATCATCATCATCATCATCATCATCATCATCATCATCATCATCATCATCATCATCATCATCATCATCATCATCATCATCATCATCATCATCATCATCATCATCATCATCATCATCATCATCATCATCATTCTCCTCCGCCTCCTTCTCCTCGTCCTCTCTACTTCCTCCTCCTTTCTCCTCCTTTTCCTCCTCCTCCTCCTCCGACTTCCTCCTCCTCCTCCTTGCTCGCAGAGCATGGCCCGAGGCCCGTGTGCGGACAGGGGGGGGGGCCGTCAGGGACGTGTTGAAACAACGATGGCAATTCGATACGAATAGGGAGAATACTATTACTAGTGATTGTGAGAGACGAAACCCCAGTGGGCATACCAATAAGGATCCTTTAGGGCGACGGCATCTCTGCGTGCCCACTGCGCCCGGGCCAGGCCCGCCCTGAACCCGGGCAGCGGGTGTCTGCGCCGCGCCCTCCTGTCCTGGCCAGGCAGGCGCTCGCGCAGCTACTGGGGCCCAGGCAGGGGCTGGCCAGGGGGCGAGTGGAGATGCCCTGCCCTTTCGTCCGGCCCGACCCGCTTCCCTCCGGAGCCTTCTCCCCCTGGACCCCTTTCCAGGGACCGGTCTTTCTTCCCATATCGCTTTCGACGGTTCCGAGGCCCGGCGAGGGCCCTGGAGGCCGAAAATAGCGACCGTTTCCCCTAGGAGCCCTTCCCCTCCTGGCGATGCCACGCGGTCGTGCGAGGCACTCCGACTGCACGCCCTCCAGAAGCTCCACGAGGGGAGGCCATCATATCCAGGGCGGGCGGAGGACCGTCGAGGCGACGCTTCTGCAACGAAGCGATTGGTTCGGTGGCAACTCGTGGGAGCCTCCAGTACCATCTTGTCGGCTCTTGTAATCTACGCTAGCCGACGCTAATTCGACGCTAAATCTACGCTAATCGACGCTCATTCGACGCTAGCCGACGCTCAATCGGCGCTATCCCATCGACTCCCAGACGCTGGTCGACGCGAATTGACGCTGAAGACATCATGAAAAGCGTACACCGGGCTCCCATGACTCGCAAGCGAAGAGGCCGATTCGCGGACCCTGTGCTCCACGAGGGGGCACTCCACGTCACGCTCTCCTGTGCTCCACGAGGGGAGACTGTCATCCAGGGCGAGCGGAGGACCATCGAGGCGTCGCTGTTGCAACGCAGCGATTGATGAGTAGCAAGTGATATTCCCAGGAGCGCGGCTGCTAAAAATGAGCCCGGAAACGCACCCAACACAGAACGGTTGTGGATTTTCCCAAATGAACCAACAACTCAACCATTCCCAGAAGGGGGTCGGAAAAATGACATACGGCACCCCCTTTTCCAAACTACGTGTAGCAATCTACCTGAAATGGACGGTTTCGTCGGTTTGGCCGGAAGCATCCCGCGAAAAAAGAGCCACGGCACCCCCGCCCCAAAATGGTTCATTCTGGCGGCGCATTTTTTGTAGCCGTGCCCCCGAGTGAGGTCGATTCGTCGATCCTGGCCTTTCGTCCCGCCCGACGCTCGCAACGCCGTCCTCCGGCGCGCTCCGGCAGGAGGCGCGGGCCGGGCACTCCCTCAGGCCACGAGGACGCAGACCCCGCCGGCCTCCTCGAGGAGGGGAGGCAGGGAGCAGGGGACGGTTTCGGGAATCTCTTCTCTTCTCCTTCTCCTCCTGCTGCTGCTGCTCCTCCTCCTCCTCCTCCTCCTCCTCCTCCTCCTCCTCCTCCAATCTCTTCCTCCTCCGTCTCCCTCCTTCTCCAACCTCCTCCTCTCTCCCTGTCCCAAATCCTCCCCATCCCTTTCCCCAGAGGAGGAGAGGGGAGGAATATAGGAGGAGCGCAAGGTGGGGATGATGATGATGATGATGATGATGATGATGATGATGATGATGATGATGATGATGATGATGATGATGATGATGATGATGATGATGATGATGATGATGATGATGATGATGAAGAGGAGGAGGAGGATGAGGATGAGGAGGAGAAGGAGGAGGAGGAAGAGGAGGAGGATGAGAGGGAGGAAGAGGAGGAGGAGGATGAGGAGGAGGAGGCGGAGGCGGAGGCGGAGGAGGAGGAGGAGGAGGAGGAATAGGGCAGAGAAGGAGGAGGAGGCGGAGGAGGAGGAAGAGGAGGAAGAGGAGGAGGAGGAGGAGGAGAGGAGGAGGAGGATGAGGAGAAGCAGGAGGAGGAGAAGTAGGGAGGAGGAGGGGGAGGAGGAGGAGCAGGAGGAAGAGGAAGAGGAAGAGGAGGAGGATTAGGGAGAGAGGGAGGGGAGGAGAGGGATGAGCGGAGAAAGTGGCAGGAGGATAACGAGGAGCAGGAGGAGGACGAGGAGGAGGAGGAGGAGGGAGGAGGACGAGGAGGATGATGAGGAGGTGAAGGAGGAGGAGGAGGTGAACGGCTTCGCTCGTGGAGAGGGCCCAGCCTTGACGGACAGCGGCAGGAGGATTATACTCATGATGGTGATGATGATGCTGCCTATGATGAGGATGAGGATGATGATGATGACGCTGATGATGATTATGAGGAGGATGGCGATGACGATGATGATGACGATGATGCCGCTGATGATGAGGATGATGACGCTGATGATGAGGAGGATGAGGAAGAGGAGGAGGAGGAGGAGGAGGAGGAGGAGGAGGAGGAGGAAGGATAATGAGGAGGAAACATATGATGATGATGCTGCTGATGATGATGAGGAGGAGAGGGAAGAGGAGGAGGAGGCGGAGGAACGGAGGAGGAGAAGCAGGACCAGGAGCAGAGGAAGAGGGGAGGAGGAGGAGGAGGAGGAGGAGGAGGAGGAGGGGGGGAAGCGGAGAAGGCAGGAATTTCAAGAGGAGCATGAGGAGGAGGAGCAGGAGGAGGAGGAGGAGGAGACGAAGACGGAGGAGGAGGATGACCTTGATCTTGACCTCTGCCTCCTTCGTGAAGTAGCGCGCCTTCACGATCAGGGGCTGCTCTGGCAGCTGGCCCTTGCCGCACACCTTCATGTACCCCGCCTTCATGACGTCGATCACGGGGGCCTTCCCCTCCTACCTTCTCCTCCTCCTCCTCCTTCTCCTCCCTCCTTCTTCTTGTTCTCCTCCTCCTCCTCCTCCTCCTCATCATCATCATCATCATCATCATCATCATCATCAGCAGCATCATCACCATCATCATCATCAGCAGCAGCACCAGCAGCAGCATCAGCATCATCATCACCATCCCCTCCTCTTCCTCCTCCTCCTGCTCCCCACATCCTCCTCCTCCCCCTCCTCCTTCCTCCTGACCCCCCCCTCCCTCCACCCCCATCCTTCCTCCTGAAGGGAGCCTTGTCCTTTTTCGCCGCGAACTGCTCCCGCGTCCCCTCGGGGACCAGCGACCAGAGCTTGTCCACGTTGATCAGGGGGCACACCTTGCCGCACTCCTCGTCCTCCCTCCTCCTTCCCTCCTCCTCCCTCCTCCCTCCTCCCTCCTCCCTCCTCCCTCCTCCTCCTCCTCCTCCTCCTCCTCCTCCTCCTCCTCCTCCTCCTCCTGCTTCTCCTTCTCCTCGTCCTCGTCCTCGTCCTCCTCCTCCTCCCTCCTCCTCGGAGTTTGACGGGGAGGGCGAGGGTGGAGGCAGAGGCGGAGGTTCTGGGGCAGGTTTCTGGAGGCTCTGCTAGACATGCTCGGAGATTGGTTGTGCATCGGATGGCGCACCTTGCCGTGCTTGATCAGGTGGAAATTGCGCATGCCCACCTTGCCGAAGTAGCCCGGGTGGTACTTGTCGAAGTTGATGCGGTGGTGGTGCTGACCTGAGGCGGAAGCTGGCTGCAGACACAGGGCGGTGTGGTTACCATGATGTATAGGGGCCTCCATCCGGTCTGCATGCACCTGGCCACGGTTTCCACCGCCGCCCCGGCATTTCGGGAAATCTCCTACAAACTGTCGACATCTCCAGCCATCCGACGTCGTGCTCTTTTTCGCAGCGTGGCCTCCCAAACATCTGGACTTCTTTCTGTGGTTCAAATCTTCACCCCGATTGCTTTCGCCACGCGGCCTCCCAGAAATCTGGATCTCTCCCCGTGAACCACCTCCTCGACCAGAATGCTTCTTTTTCACGGTCCCGGGGCCTGGTGAGGGCCCCGGAAACCGAAAATTGCAAAACGCCGTCCGTCGTCCGTCCGTCCGAACGTTGCACAGACGCCGGTGTCAAGGCTCCTGGCCCCTGCTACAGCCGTCGCGCTACCAGAAGGAACGCATAATACTGAACGAAGGGGCTTTTCTGGCCAGGGCGGGCCTTGGCCACAAACAGGTTCCACGACGTAGATCTAAGGAGCGGCCCGAAAACCCGAGCCCCTCCTCAGCCTGAAGCGGTCCCTCTTTCCGCGTCTTGACTCCACTCCACGGCCGTGGATCTCAGAGCCGTCGAACCGCTGGCGCAGTCGAGCCGATCGGATCGAGCCAGGGCCATGGAGGATCGGAGCCGCCCACTGGGAAGCGCGTGCAGCTGGCCGTGAATCGCTGCTGCCCGTGAATCGCAGCACGGGCGAATGGAGTCCCATCCGTGGACGCAGAGGCAGCTATCGCAAGGATCGGTTCGGCGACACGCAGGAGTGGCCCTGGTCGAGCGTCATCCTGGGTGCGCGGCTTCAGTCGAACAATAACACACGTTATAACAAATGTTAGCCTTCCGTGGGCCCCAAACAATGAATTACCGCATTGTGGATGTGGGCGATGTGCCATGTAGAAAATGTGTTCCAAAGTAAAGTGTGTAAGCTTTGTCGTGTGGGCTGCGTGGTGACAGTTATGCTGTGTAAGCTATGCAATGTACGCTATGTTGTATAAGCTATGTGGTGTGAGCTGTAAGCTATTTTTTATGAGCTACGTGCGCGATGTACTGAACTGCGGAGGCTAACAACATGTTGTGTCAACTATGCGGCGTAAGCCATGCTGTGTAAGCTTTGCCGTGTGGGCTATGCGGTGTAAACCATGCTGTGCAAGCTGTGCGGTGTATACGCTACGTTGTGTCACATATGGCCATGTGGGGTGAGCCGTGCGGTGTGAGCCGTGCGCTGCAAGCCGTGCGGTGCAAGCCATGTTTCTGCAGCTATGCTGTTCAAGCTATGCGGTGTGAGCGCACGGGGGGCCCTACGGGGCGCCCACGAGCGGGCACGGGCGCCCACACGCGGCGAATCCGATGGAAACCCACCCCACGCACGGGGCGCTTTCGAGGCGCTCACGAGCGGGCACGGGCGTGAACGAGGTACACCCTCCGGCGCCGCCCTTAGCGCGCTCTGCGCGCCAAGGAACGGGGTCTAACGCCGATTTATGATATCCGTGTGGATCTCCGAACGTTTATGCCTGCACAATTTTTTGGTTCTCCGGCTGAAACGGGTCGCACGGATTGGGCCAAACTGAAGCGCACAAGCCGCGGCGATCGCATCTCATCGAGCGATCTGGGGACCCCATGAGGGGGAATGACAGGGGGGGACCACCTCAGGGGGGGAGCATCGACCTGGAATCGACGATACACCACCGATGAATTTGCGATGGGCCCCCGATAGCGAATCGAGAGTTCCTGGGTGGGGTGGGCTATCGGGCCCCTATCGGCGATGAGTGGGCGATTGGGGTTCGATGTGCCCCCCCCTAAGCCTATCTCCCCCCGAACGTTGCCCCTGACTGCCGCATCGCATCCAGCGATCTGGGTACCCCAGTGGACCCGCACCAGGGGGCATCCGGGCGAAGAACCACTCTTACGTGCGTAGTCGACCGATGCCACTCGCAGACGCCAACACGCATCGCAACGCCGAGCCGATCGAGCCGTTGGCAAGCCCTGCCTCCCTCGGGGCGGGTTTGCCGAACCACCGCGTGTGCAGTGCCTGTTATGGAATCCCTGAATCCAAAAATCTGTCATTCCACAAACAATGCTTGCACCGAGTGGTTCTTAATTCATTTCTAAGGAACTGTGCTCGGTTGTCGGGTCCGCCGCCTTGTGGTCGCCGTCGCCGCCCCGTCGCTGCCTCACCGCCGCCCGTCGTTTGAGCTCCGTTTTCGGGTCCGCCGCCTTGTGGTCGCCGTCGCCGCCCCGTCGCCGCCTCGCCGCCGTCCGTCGGTTGAGCTCCGTTTTCGGGTCCGCCGCCTTGTGGTCGCCGTCGTCGCCCCGTCGCCGCCCCGACGCTGCAAAGCAATGCGAAGCAATGCGAAGCAAACCGAAGCATTGCAAAGTAATGGAAGGGAAAAGACGGCACAGCAAACAACAGCAATGCGAAGCAATGCTTTGCATTGCGCCACATCGATCGCCCCACATGGATTGCACCACGTAGCATGCACCACATCTGTCTGCACCACGTAAATTGCACCACGTAGTTTACACCACACACATTGCAGAACATACGTTGTCCCTTCTAGAAAACTATTCGGATCACCCCCCCCCCGGACTTACCGGGCCATTTTTTTTTCTCATAATGCTTTCCGTATATAATCCAACATACTCGTCCATCCGAACTATGAACTCATATCATCTCAGGCCGTCCAAATATCGACCCCCCATCCTCTGCAAAAAACCATGCGTGCAAACTCGTTCACCAACAAACATCCGCTTCCCAAATCCTTTGCAACATATGGGACGAAGTGCGCACGCGCGCGCCAAAATCCTTAAACATTTTAGGTTCCGTAGGGTTAAACAAATGCGTGCCCCGTACATATAGGAAAAACAGGGGCAGGAATGTTCAAACCATAACCTATAGCTATGTGTATATATAAGTGTATACATGTAACCTGCGCGCCCACCCCTCGAGTTCTTAAGACAGCCTCCGATTGTTCAGTATTTTCATACAAGCGCTACCAACCGTGACCCTCGCGCGAGCATGTCGAAATCATTCGGGCGCCCTTGCGTGCGTGCTGTCGCAAAAACCCCTGGCAACACATGAAGCGAACTGCGCATGCGCGCCTCGTCGCGCACGCATGCCGGAATGGTTCAATCGTTTTCGCAGGGATGTCAACATCAAATGTCTCGAACACATATAAAAAACCAGTGGATTGCAACCGGCATTTAAAACAAACAAAAGGGAAAACAACAGAGAAAAAAGGGGAGGAACATTCTGCGCGCGGTTGCCAGCTCTCATGAATGTTTTAAATTTTAAAGATTCCATCAATGCGACAGAATGGGCCTCTCGCGCGCGCGTGTTGAAATCAATCGAACGCCTTTGCGCGCGTGCTGGGGGCGGGGGGGCGCGGCCCCTTTTTCAAATTATGCCATGCGGGCCAGTCGCGGGCGTCGGTCCCGCGCGCATGCCGAAATCCCTCCAACATCTTCATCACCGACGCGTGAACACCATCATCGCCATCCACGCGATCAGCATCGGCGCCGCCGTGGGCCTTGCCGACGTCACTGTCATCATCGCCAGCATCCGCGCTACTATCATCATCGTGTCTGCGGCTGTCGGCGCCGCCATGATACCGCGCCCGCTCGAATCATCGACTCGCGTTGAAATGCCCGCGCGTCAGCGCGGCCTGCGAGACGCGCTGGGCAATGCCCAGCGGTCAGCGCCACCGCAGCCGCGTTGGTTGCGCCAGACTAGCTGGCCGCTCTGCGCGCGTGCCTGCGCGCGGTGTCGCGGCCGCAGCGGTGCGCCAACCAGCCCCAAGCAGTCATCGGAATCGCCACCGCAAGGGTTTCGCAAACCAAGTTGCGGGTGGGTGGGTGGGATGGTTGCGCGAGCAGTGCAGTTGACAACTCACAGGCGAGCATTCGATAATTGCACCACGTATGCTGCACCACATCTGTTGCACCACGTATATCGTACTGCGTAGCTTTCACCACGTAGCTTGCACCACATAAAAGGGCGCCACGTAGTCTGCTAGACCACAATGCTGGGGGTCTACGCTGGCTAAAATATCATTGGGGACCGATTTGTGCTTCATGTGGCTTCCGCTGGCGTAGCCGCCCTCGCTTTACTTCCGCCGCCTTTCACCAGGCTTCCGCCGCCTTCCTCCGAGGAAGAGGTGTCAACCCCTTCGACCTTCGACGGCGAGGTCGTTTCTGGAACGCCCCGTACAGGGCGAAAGGGTCAAGGAACCTGACCCACCCAATGCCCGTGGGATAGAACCTATGATAACTCCCTCCAGACCGGGTGCGCCATCATCCTCAAGTGTCAGTATCGGGTCGGGCGAACCTAGACATCCAGCTGCTCCAATTGTTCGATGCGTGGGCCCCAGGGGTCTGGGCCACTCCCCCCTGGTTCTTCGTCCTGAATCGTTGTTTGACGGTCCCGAGGTCCAGCGATGGCCCCCCAGAAGACAAACACAGCCAACAAAACCGCCGCACCAATTTTGTTCGGAGCGTCGGATCTGTGGGAAGCGCGGGGGAGGAGGAGGGAGGGAGGGAGGGAGGGAGGGAGGGAGGGAGGGAGGAAGGGAGGAGGAGGAGGAGGAGGAGGAGGAGGAGGAGGAGGAGGAGGAGGAAGGAGGGATGATGATGAGGAGGAGGAGAAGGAGGAGGAGGAGGAGGAGGAGGAGAAGGAGGAGGAGGAGGAGAAGGAGGAGGACGAGGATGAGGATGAGGATGAGGATGAGGAGGAGGAGGAGGAGGAGGGGGAGGGGCAGTGAAGGAGGGGTCCGCAAATCGCCTCACATTGCCGATGTTTCCTTGCGCCTCGCGTTGTTAGAGACGCCACATGTATCGGAAGAAAAAACGCCCGGCCGAAAGAGGAGGCGCCCGAGGATGGGGCGGAACCCAGCTACATGCCGCAGGTTTCGTTCGACCCCACCTCCCTTTCTATCTCGGCGACGAGCGAGGGGGGGCAGTGAGAAGGAGAAGACCTTTTCGGAAGGCAGCGGGACTTCTCAGAAACCCTCGCGCCTTCTGAGAAGTTGTTGTGTGTTTCGGGGAACGCTTCGGCAATTTCTCAGAAGGCCAGGGGATTTCCGAGCCTTCTGAGAAGGCCCGCCCCTTCTCACATTCCCCCCTGGGCGCGCCGCCGGCTTTCCCTATCCCGGGTCAACCTTTTGCTCAGCATGTCGCGACCGCGGCCCCAGCGATACACTACGCGCTGCGAGCCGATGGCGTGTCGCTCCGCTCCGCGGGGCGAGGGGGCTGGCAGGAGCTCGGGGCGTTGATGCTTGGACGCGGGGGCGTGGATGACGTGTCGCGCCGAGGTGCAGCGGGCCAGAACCGGCGGCGGGACACGCTGAGCGGAAACTCGTGACCGCATCCCCCGCCATCTCGTCCAGCCCGACAGTGCCTGGGCCGAGATCGGTTACAAGCAAGAGTGACCCTGGGCACGGGGGACCTCTGGCGCGCGGCTTCAGGGGGGCCGCGGGGACACCGAGCCCAAGCGTGCAGGCCCAGGCAAGGGGGGGGCCCCTGTGGGCCTAACTTGCACGTGGCCGACAGTGCAGCACCGCCCCGGACATCCGGCTGCTCCATGTTTTTCGCTGCGTGGGCCCCAAGAAGGTCTGGACCACTTCCCCAGGGCTGGCTTTTCGTCCCGAGTTGTTTTTTGACGGCCCCCAGCCCCGAGGGTCCCAGCAGGAGGACCAGAACAGCTACAAAAACCGCCCGCCCGCATTTTTCCGCAGCGTCGGATCTCTGGGGCGTGGCCCACAGGGGGCCAGCCGGGGCACCCTTTGCCGACCCAGACCCCCGACGTCGTGAGTTTTTCGCAGCGTCGACCCCCAGAGGTCTGGACCCACCGGTTTTTCATCCTGCCACATTTTTGGACGGTCCTGGGGCCCCGTGAAGGCCCCGGGAGGCCGAAAATGGCGAAAAACCTCCCGTCGTGATTTTTGCCTAGCATGAGGGGATCTACTGGGATGGGCGCGGGGGTTGCTAAGGGGATAGGGGGGGGATCGGTGGACGCCAAAGGGGTTATACCTGGCCTAAACCTAGCTTGCTAGTGGGTTGCTAATGTCCCAAGTGGCGTGGGGGTGTGACAGCGATCCAGGCTAAGTGGGCTCCGCCCGCTCAGCGGAGCTGTCTAATCCCCCCGGAACCACTTGGGGCATGTGTAACCCACTTATAGGCGAGGTTAGGCCAGGTATAGCCCTTTTGGCGTCCACTGCTAAATCATAAACCCCCTATCCCCTCAGCAACCCCCGCGCCCAGTCCAGTGGGGTTGCCTCCTAACGCTGGAGGCTCTCCCCACCGAACTTTCCCGCCGCTCCGGTGCGCGGGCCCCGCCTCCCCTAATTGTGGAGAGCCTCTCGGGGGGCGAGCCGCCGAACGGCCTCCGACGGCAGCGACCCCCGCGGCGGCCACAGGGGGCCACCGAGGATCGGCTCAACGAACGAACGAACGAAACAGATGCCGCTGGGAAGCTGGCGGGAGGTTTTTCGTTATCTTCGGCCTCTGGGGTCCCTCGCCGTGCCCTGGGAGCGTCTGAAAACGACTCAGGACGACAAACCAGTCCCTGGGAGGGGGTCCAGACTTCTGGGAGTCGACGTTGTGAAAAATTCTAGACGCTTCGCTTATCCCCACCAGCCCATCCCGAAACGATGTCCAGGCGAGTTGAGGTGATCAGGGAAGTGCGGCAGCAAAGAGGAGGACGGCCGAACCGTGCAAAGGAGTGAGGAGGAGAAGGAGGAGGTGGATGGATGGATGGATGAGGGAGTGGGAAGACGGAGGATGAATAGGATGAGGAGGAGGCGGAGGAGGAGGAGGAGGAGGAGGAAGAGAAGGAGTAGGAGCAGGAAGGAGGAACAGGAGGAGGAGGAGGAGGGCAAGCACAAGGGCCAGAGGTCTCTTGGATGCCTCTAGGAGCCTCTTGGAGTATCTCTTGGGCGATTCTTGGGGGCCTCTTGGGACGTCTTGGGGGTCTCTTGGCGATCCTGGGGGGCTCTTCGGGGTCTTGGGTGCCTCGGGGGGGGGCCTCTTGGGGCCTCTGAGGGTCTTCTTGGGGGCCTTCTGGGGGCCTCTTGGGGGCCTCTTGGGGCCATCTTGGGGCCATCTTGGGACCTCTTGGGGCCTCCTGGGCGCTTCTTTGTGCCATCTTGGAGGAGATCTATCAAAGAAGAGCTGAGCTTTAATTAGCGCTGCCCCCCCAGGAGGCCAAGGTGGGGCCAAAGCCCTGCTAAAATCAATGATTTTGGCTTCCTCGCCGAGGCTGTTTTGGACGCTCTGACCGCTCCCCGCCCCTCCTGTCCAGGTCAGTGGGGAGGGGGTAGGGGGAGGGGTAAACCCCTCCCCGAAGGGGAAGAGGGAGGGGTGGAAGAGGAAACGCCCTAAACCACCGACGCCCAGAGGGCTGGTGGGAATCACGACGTCGGGGGCCCAGGGACGTTGACGCTCGGGACCGGGACGTGGATACAGTAGCGTGTCGCGCCCACGCGTGGCGGGCCAGAACCGTCGGAGCGACACGCTAAGCCAAAGTTCCTGGCCGCAGAGCAGCCACAGAGCTTTCAGTCTCACCATTCGACGCGCAACGGCAAGAAACCTCAATCTGCAACCACATGGGCACCGAGACCGGTGCACTAGCGCTAGTTACAGCTGGAAAGCTGGCTCCATCGGTACTTTCGAACGCCTGGGGGCCAGGCTTCGAACAAGCCCCCGGCCCCCTCCTCTCGATAGTCGCGGACTTCTAGACAAGCGCCGTTCCACTACTCCCAAAGTAACTACGTACTGGAATTGGCCTGGATCCGACGACTGGGACCTGCGATCCATTACATCGAGGTCGACGCTTATTTTTGTCTGGACGTTTGCGGGCAGGCACTTTGCGAGCAGTGGAACGCGCTCGGCGAAGACTTTGGCCGCATCGAGAACGTCTGCAAAGGCCTCGATCCCTGGGCCGCTCCGCGGTCCTCGGATGCGCCCCGGCCTGGGTTCCAAAAAGGGAATCGGGCCGTGGCGACGAGACGCCCCCCTGAAGCCAAAACTGAAGGGGCCCAGGGACACACAAATAAATGCTCACAACTCCCAGGATTCCCCCTATTTTTTTGGGGGGGGGGGGGGGGATTTTCGTCTGCCCACCCACTTCCAATATGAATATGTTCCTATATTTTCCTGGGGATCGACGATTCATTGTCTGTGTGGTTATTCCCCTCCTAAAAAACGCCCTCAACCCTCCCCAGAACTCCGACGTGGAGCGGCTTCGCCACGTAGCGGATCCCAGAAGACTGGACTCCTTGCCGGGGCTGGCTTTTCGTCCCGCTCTCCTGTTTTGATGGCCCCGGGCCCCAATGAGGTGAGAGCCCCTGGAGGCCGAAGATTGCCCACAACCTCGCGCTGTATACTTTTCCGCAGCGAGAGGAGGTGGGGTCCGACCTGAGCTGCCCCGAGACGCAAAACGCAACACGTAGCGTGTTGACACGGAGCGTTCGCCAAAACGTGGACCGACACGTGCCGAGCCAACACGCAGCGTGTTGACACGGACGCCTTGAACACGGCACGTGTTGCGTTTCAGCACGGGCGCTTCAGGGCCACCAGGGGTCCGACTTCGGCAGCGCCCTGCGAGGCGGCCCCCAGGAAGCCGAGAACCCCGTCGTGATTTTTTTCTCGCGGCGAGACGGATAAGCGCGGGTCCCTCCCAGCGGCCTCCCGCGTTCCCGCAGCCGCCCGGGTGCTTGCGGTGCTTCCCGATGCGCCCGCGCCCGGCCGAGATGGCGCCGCGGAGGTGGCGGTTCTTCTTGTAACGCGTGGTCATCGCGCACCCTTTTGCCCCCAGACGCCCGGCATCTCGAACGAAACCGAGACGTGGTTTTGTCATCGTCTCCGGCCTCTCGGGGCCCTCTTGCTGGGCCTCGGGTCCGTGACAAAAAAAGACTCGGAATGAAAGCCGGTCCCGGGGAACTGCTCGAGAGGTCGGGGGCCCAGGTCTCGAAAGCATCGAGACGCCCGAAGTCTGGGTCGCCCGCGCCTGCCAGGGGAAGGGGGCCTCTCGGAGAGCTCACCGTGCGCGGCTCGAGCCAGAGCTGGCTCGGAGAGAGGCAGATGGGGAGGGGGGGGAGGCGGGAGCTGGAGGGAGCAGAGAGGGGGGGGACGGGAGGGGAGCGAGGGGGGAGAGAAGGGCAGGGGTGGGGGGGGGGGACGGGAAGGGAGCGAGGGGGGAGAGAAAGGCAGAGGCTAAGTGGGGCGGGACGGGAGGGGAGCGAGGGGGGGAGAAGGGCAAGGGCGGAGGGGGGGAAGAAGAGGCAGGGGGGGGGGGAGAGCGGGAGGGACGAGAAAGGACGGGGGAGGGAGGGGCGGAGAGGCGGATCCAGGGGCGGGTGGGTATCCCCAGACGGGTGGTCAACGCCTTGGTCGGGGGGGCCCTGCGCCCGTGTGGATTTCGGGAGGGAGTGTGGGGGGGCGGAGTAAGGGGGGAGGAGAGGGCGGAGGGGGGCAAGAGATGATCGGGCGTCGAGCTATCCGACCACGTCCATAAAGAAAGACCACAAACCACGGATCTGCTGCTCAGCCTTGCCAAGAAGCTTGGGCCACTGGCTCGCACCCAGCCTGTTGAGATGTACTCGACGGTGGGGCTTCGCAGGACCATCACTCAGCTGCCGAGACCACGCACTTGCCGATCTCCGAAACAGCCGCAACTCACACAACACCACACGCCCAGGGACCGCTCAGGTCTCAAGGAGATGATGGAGCAAGCGAGGGGGATCGGATCGGATCGACCCGGCAGGAGGAAGCGTCATGCCCCGCAGAGCCGTCTGGATCTCCTTCCCCTTCCCCCCGTGGGGCCACAACTACGGAGCTTCAAGCTCAATGCCAGTGGTGGCACGATCTGTATCCCGCCCTGCCCAGCGGCAGGCGAGGAGAGGGGGGAGGGGAAGATGGGAGGGGGGCGGGGAGAGAGGGAAAGGTTTTGCCCGTCCAGGGACGCGCACGTCCTGCGAGAGCCCAGCCGCAAGGGGGGGGGGAAGGCGAGCAGCGGCGCACAGGAAGAGGCACACGAAAGGCAAGTCGGGGCGGGGGGGGGGGCAAGGGATGAGGCACCCTGCCCCTTCCCACACCCCTCCCTCGCCCAGTCGGCCTTCCCGAGCTTGCTAGGGTGGAAATTCCGCGTGTCCAGCCTGACCGAGCAGCCTGGGCGGCGCCCGCAGGGGGCATGCCCGGCAGACCAGGCGACTATGCTTGAGTCGGGGGTGTCCCTCGACAGGAGGAATATCAAAAAACATTCAAAAATAGTCTGGGGACGACTCTTTGACTATTATTGAATATTGACTGGTTATTTTTGGAGTACCTTTTATTCTTCGTCCAAAACCCGCCTGTATGAGGACAGGCCCGACCTAAGAGTGGACAGGAGAGGGGAGAGCCAGCCAACGGCGGAGGACGAGGGATGCCGACGAGCACGACAGAACGGTGCGGCTTTCCTCTCTCCCCCAGCTCGCCCCCTTGGGCGGCTTCGCCCGCTGGCTCACTCCCCTCCTCCTTCCTGGCTTCCTTCTCCTCCCGTCTCTCGGGGAGACGTGTGGCCCTCGCGCGTGGGGGGGGGGGGGTCTCGAGCTTTTGCCCGACGGGGCCGCCGGAAGAATGGCGGGATCCACTGTGAAATTTGTCGCGAGCTCCCGCTGCCGACATATCACGAAAACTGGGCCGTCAACGCTTGCGCCAGGACACGCTAACAAAAACGGCGACAAGCCCGAGCCCCTGCAGACTCGAGTCTTGCGTTAGGTCGGGCATGTCCTCCTACAGGCAGACTTGGTTGGACGAGCAACAATAACCAAACATATCCCACAATAGTCAAACATATTTGAAAAACACGTCCTCAGAATACATATTTTTACTATTATTGAATATGGGAGACACGCCCGACTTACGTCTTGCGTTTCCCCGACTGCCCCCTGCAACGCTCTGCCCTCCTCTCTTTCCGCTGCCGCGCCGACATCCCCCCGCCGCCTCCGCTTGGGCTCCCCGCGTATCCCACCGCACTGGTCCCCCCTCCCCCCCGCATCCCTCGGCGGCGCGCGAGGGGGGCGCCCGAGTTATCCGGGGTAACTCGGGCCCGGGGTAACTCGGGTGTGGCTTCCCGAAAAACGAACCCGAGTTAGCCCTGACCCAAGTTACCCCTGATGGTTTTGGGGCTCTGAGCAAGGGCGGGGAAGTGAGAAGGAGAAGGCCTTCCCTGAAGGCTCGGAAGCCCCCCAGCCTTCTGAGAAGTCTTCGAGGCCTTCCCCGAAGACACCGAAAAACTTCTCATAAGGTGCGAGGGCTTCTGAGAAGTCCCGCCGCCTTGTGAGCGTTTTTTATTCGGCGTTTCGACTTTGGGCAGAAAGGGGGGGGGGGGAGGGGGGGGTCTGGCTCTGGACCTCTGCTTAGTGCGGCTGTTTGGAACCGTGCGTCCTCTGGGGGAGACTCCACCTGCTCGAAACAGGAGCCAAAAACAACCAAGATCTACACCATGGAGGGGGGGGAGGGGGGTTGGGGGGGCCCGTGCCGATCGGCAAAACAATGAATAAAAAACGATCACCTTCTGAGAAGGCCTTCTCCTTCTCACTTCTCCCCCGGGCTCGCCGCCGAGGCCATCCCCTACCATCGCCACTTCGTCTCCCCGCTCCGTCATGCCCGTCCGGCTCCTCTCCTGGCCGACTCCGCTCGCGTCTCCCCTTCTGCTTCCGTCTTCTCTCTCTTCGCCGCCGCGCAGGAGGAGGGAGGAGGAGTAGGAGCGCAAGCACCGGAAGGGGGAGGAGGGATGGAAAGGAGGGGTGGAGGAGGAAGAGGAGGAAGAAGAGGAGATGGAGGACGGGGGGGGGGAGGGGGGAGGGCGGAGGGGGAGGGAGGAGAGGAGGGGGGGAGCCCTCCCCTCCCTTCTCCTTCCCCTGTCCTCCGCCTGCCGCCTCGCATTCCCTCCCTTCTTTCCCGACTTGCCCCAGACGAAGGCCGATTGAGGCATCGGAGGCCCTCCCAACGAGGAGAGGACGGACGGACGGACGGAAGGATGGACGGACGGACGGAAGGATGAACGGACGGACGGAAGGATGAACGGAGGAGGAGGAGGAGGAGGAGGAGGAGGAGGAGGAGGACCATAAGAAAACTAGGATGCAACAAAGATGCTGCTATACATCCTCGCGTCCCAAGTCCCCTCCTCGTCAGTCCCTGCGGGAAACATTCCTTTGAACGAAGAGCGCCCCATGGGCCCACCTAGTATTCAGGGGAGGGTCCCGTTTTGAAAAAGAACTGCCCTGCCCCTTTCGATATACGGAAGCGGCAAAGTAATCTCATACATTTTGAGGGAATCTCAGAAGGTTGACCCGTGTTGAAAAAGAAGCAGCACTGCATGTGTGTAGCTGCTCCACTGCGCCTGCATTATGAAGAAGTTTCAGGCGATACCCCTACTTTGAAAGGCACCGCCTTCCATCCTGTTTGCAATTCACATGCTTACGCTTCTGGCACACATCTTGAATACGTATCACCTTCCATCTTTGTAACGGTTGCACTTGTACGAAATGAATGTGTGCGGCTCGAGGGTGAGCACACATGTTGGAAACGAGCTGGTGCGACATTCCAAACTTCAGGATGACTAAATGTGCGGGGGCCTCAAAAAAACGCCGGACCCGTCATGCCGACCCGCCTTGTGGTGCAACGACGAAGACTCATTTAGGAGGAGGAGCCAGGAGGAGGAGGAGGAGGAGGAGGAGGAGGAGGAGGAGGAGGAGGAGGAGGAGGAGGAGGAGGAGGAGGAGGAGGAGGAGGAGGAGGAGGAGGAGGAGGAGGAGTGGCAGCCCTTGCAAGCGCGGGTCCTCCACCAGCGCCAGAGCAGGGCCTCGACGGCCGAACCCAGCGGGATCCTGGTGAGCAGAGCCCTGGCCGAACCCTCGGGAGGCTGGGGCAGACCCGGAGGGAGGGGGAGCAGGGTCAGAGGAACTGAAACGAACACTGGCATCACTTCTCGGGAGGACCAGGATCAGGAGGAGGACGGAGCGAGATCGATACTGAGATCGACCACGTCGAATACCGAGGGAAACGCTCGGCACCAGGGCCGCCAGGAATGATCTCAATCCTCATCCTGAAGGAGCTCGAGAAGCCTGGCCTCCTGACGAAAATCCCGTCAACCACGAAGCAACCTGTACCACCGCAGCCAGGGAGGAAGCAGTCGTGGACGGAGGCCACATCAGAGCCAGGGAGCTGGGGGAGCTGACGGCCGTACGACGGCGACGACACAATCAACGACTACTGGATGGAATGGGAGCGGGAGGGAAGGAACACTGAGATCCGACAACATTGCGACTGGAGCTCTAGACCCCATTTCTCTCCGACATGTGGTTTGAGCCAGGTCGATCTGTGAGGGTCCCAGGGCCCGAAACCGGGCGAGAACGCCAGGTGTGGAACATTGCAACGCCTGGACCCCAGGTCAGGACGACGATCTCTCCCCCCCCCCTGCGGACGGACGGCGCCCAGGTGGTGTCTGTCGAAGTTGACCCTTCGGTGGATCGAAGATGGAGTCCCGAGGGATGGGATCCTGAAGGACGAGGTGCCTCCAACCATGTAAATCCGCCCTTGGACCCCTTCCTGTCTTTAAGACCCCATGTTAGAACCACCGAATCCTCCGATGTATCGGCAACGCCAGCGATGCATCGGCGCTGTCGGCGTGGAAGAAAACGGGCTCCTCATCGAGCTGCATCGCCGATGCATCGCCGATGCGGCGCGATCCACCGACCCCATCTACTCGTGAACACTTTCTTCTTCGGCGTTTCGATGTTGGGCGCAAGGGAGGGGGAGGGTGTGCTTGTGCTCCAGACCTCTGCTTAACGCAGCTGTTTGCAACAGTGCGAAATTTTGGGGAGACGTTACCTGCCTGAAATAGGCGCCCCAAATAGCCAAGATCTACTCCATGGGGGGGGAAGGGGGTGCGAGGGCCCGCGCCGATCGGCAAAACAATGAATCAGACAACGATCACCTCCGACCTCATCTGGGAGGGTTCCAACCCCCTCGAAATCAAACGCAAACTTGTATCTTGCCCCTAGCCCCCAAATTCCAATGTTGATGG